AAGATAATTCTATTTGATTAGTCGTCAAAAATGAACAAGAAAAATGTCTTTTTTCTAGAATAGTAACAGCATTGATCGTCTTCCAAAAAAATGAAATGTGGAGATAACGAACAGTGATTGTTCTCAAAAGTCCATTTGAATAATATAAATTATGAGCAAAGCCAACGCGGACCTCTGAGAACGGACGGGGGATTAGATCCAATGGAGGAGCAAGAATCCCCTGTCGACCGATTACATCCACTGTGTGCACCTTGTCATTTTCGGGTTAACGGAAAAATCCGTAGACAGGTGTGAAAATAATGGCCTAACAATTTGTATGAAAGACAACATTCGACTTACCGACAGACTGTATTTGCAAACAAGGTCATTGTATCGACCATAGAATTTGCAAAATGTTGACTTTAAACGATATTATTGATATTATTGTATCATCAACTTATTTGTCAAGAGCCAACCTCGTTTTAGAAATTATTTGTACTTAGAACATGCTCTAAAGTATCAAATCAACAGGGAGACATAAACTCCATATGCAGGTGATAATGGTATATTGCTACATAAATGAGGAAAGTTAACGATAGAAGTTGAAGTCATCAATTTTTCTTATAAAGTTTAGTTGTTAGTTTGCCATCGGTGCCATTTTCTAGCATAATATTAAAATATGAAATAGATGTGTCAGACTATGGTGTCTTTTATTTCGAGTTCAATGAAATATATCGAATCAATGTATGATTGAAACTGAATACTGTTAATTAATAAAACGTCGTCGACATACCTAAATGTCGAATTGAAATGGAAAGCAACATCAGATAATTGTATAAAGCGTTGAAAATTCATACATTTTGATGTTACTGCTTTTTTTTAAAACGTTGTGCTTTTAAACTTTCTAGAAGTTATTTGGAGTTTTGGAGAATCCACATTTGATTTACACCACTTCTTAAATACAGGGTGTTTCAGAAAACATGCAACCATTTTGATTGATTAAATTTTTCTGGTCTTTCAACCAATACCATGCACCAATATTTCAAATTAAAAGTCACAATTTCAAGATTTATTCTCAATAAAATAAAGTTAATATGGCAAATAGATAATGAATTACAAAAGAAAAAAAGAAACTTGTAAAATTTCACTTAGTTACAAAATATGTTCAAAATGGCGTCATTTTTGATGAATGAATAAATCTATCCGATGCAAGAAAGTTCTCATTACTATTGCAGAGAGTCTCTTGGTACATGTAATGAATCAGGTCTCATTTTTCGAACCATTCTGAGTTCATTTGTTTTTTGAGGGTGTATTTCAAAAACTTTGACCTTTAAATATCCGCACAGACAAAGGTCAAGGGGTGTTAAGTCAGGTGAGTGTGGAGACCCAATTTAACGGATTTGAAGAGTTGAATGGTCCTCCAAACATTTGTTCTAACCAGTCCAAGGTTTAAGATTCAAAACATATTTCAGCATCTGATCTACACTTGACTTGCTCAATTTGTTCACAAACTCAGTTATTTTACAAAAAGTTTTCATGTGAATCTCTGGAACAATGCCTCTTTTTCTTCATTTTTTTTTCTTTAAATTTCTTTGATCATACATGAACTCTTCCATTAGCTGCAAAATTTTACAGATTTATACAACTTCCAATTTATATTACTATTAGTAAGTTCTTTGCATTCTGTAAACCTTATTTTCATTGTCCTAATCACAGGAACTGGTGGCATGCTCTGATAAAGCAGTATCGGAACTCCTGATGATTGATTTTTATTAAATTCCACATTAAGAATGACATTATCTGTTTTTTCAGTGATGTCAAATATGACGTCATAATTAATTCAAATGGTAATTTTTTTCTAAATTTCTGTTATCAATAAAAACCTTAACCTTTTTAGCATAATTTTATATAAAACTTTCATATGTTCCTGTTTGCAAATAAATAAAGTGAGGAATGTAAATGGTTGCATGTTTTCTGTATGTTGCAGCACGCTAGGACTAAAGTTTCTTCTTCAAAACCGTTATTATTTTTAGAGGAATAAAGATACTTGTTTGGTTGAGCACTTAATGGATCTTGTAATAAAATGCGAGGATAACGAATGGTTATCATGCACAAAGGTCTAATAAACGACTGAAATAAAGAGCAGAGCAAGGATCGACCTCTAAAAATATCAAAGAGGTAATCAGGTGCAACAAAGGAATAAACATCCCTTCTCTAATGATCACACCTGCCCTTGCATGTAACATAAATATATCTATGTACGATAAAACAAGTACACTTCCGTTGACTGGAAAAGTTAAAACTTTGATTTTGAAGATTTTCATGTTTGAAAGGGAACTGTGAGTAAAAGCTGGATTAAACTGAAATTAAAACTAATTCCTCTAAAATGACGCTGTAATAAAGAGCCTTACAAAGAAAAACTATATTGTTATAAGCTTTGTCAGCTGGAAACATGTGACATATTGATCATGTAGTAATAATGTAATAACGGTGTACCTTTTGATGTTTTTCATAGTTTTACTTTATATCTTCATTAAGGACGTATGGTAGTGACGATTTTGAATCCACCGCGCAACTCCGAATGACGTAAATGAATCGTATGTCGTTCATCTCTTTAGTAGAGTTGGAAATAAAATTTACAATGCAACTTATTTTAAAGATATACTTGATATAAAATCATATAAAATGTGACTAAAATTTCATTGGATTCAAACTAACAACAGGTCGAGGTAATTTTACGACTTATCTTACTTTTCGGTAATGTAAACAAAGCGGATGTTTCGAAAAGAATGAAATGCGGAGAAAACGAGGATTTTCGTCAACCAAATCTATTCAGCGGCACAGCAAGGCTTCGTTGACTCAAGAAAGGCGATGGTGAGCTGCGTCTGACTGAAAATTACTGTGCAAAGATTAAACCCATCATTCGAATCACAAACGCATGACAACTCTAGCCTAGCAAAAACGATCTGCCCAGGTTTGTCTCTAGTATTTGACACCATTGAACTAACATTACCTCAGAAATTCAGTAAAAGTGATTGTGGCTCAGCTAAATACCGGTATTAGATAAGATATATATATATTTATATATATATATGAGTGAACTGGGTACTTTTTTCTGAATTGGGGGCATGAGTGAACTCACAACATTATACACTGCATGATAGATCATTTTTAGCAAAAATTAGGTTAAGTGCACATAATTTAGAAATTGAAAAAGGTAGATATGTTGAAATTAATAAAAATGATAGGTTGTGTAAAGTTTGTCAAAACCTTGATATTGAGGATGAAAAACATTTCATTTTGCTCTGTCCGAAATATGAAGCACAGAGAAAAATATTCAAAACAAAATTATCTACTTTCCCTAATTTCAACCAAACAATCCATAATAATGACAATTTGTTAAAATCATTGATGAAAACCAGGTGTAAAAGGGTTCTTAAAATATTATCTTCATTTTTATGTCAAATATCTGATATTAGAAAAAATGTTCTAGCTATAAATGAGTAACTACATTGTTATGAATCACCTAGTATCTGATGAGTACACTACATTATTTGCTACACCAATTGTTTGTATTCTATAGTTGTGTTCTACTGTATTATTATACTTATTAATGTGTTCTGTATGGGCCTTTACCAATTACTGTAATTGTGTTTGTGCCAATAAAATATTTGTATTTGTATTTATAAATTCGTGACGATTCATGTTAAAGTTTTTTTCAAAAAAAAGCAGAGATTTTGTGATTAAAAATTGTTATATTCTTCCTTAGTTGTTGTTTACAATATAGATTCAAAAAAGTGATAAAGAGCACTACACTATATTATAATAAAAACAATACCACTGGTTACCAGTGCACACATGAGGGGGTAATTTACATGATTTATACACAATTCTGTTTTGCAATTTATTTTTATATTGTGTGACATGATTGCATTCCGGAATGTTGGTGAATCAATAAAAATTCAAAAATTTATAGATGTCCCATATCGAAAATGAATACAAAAATAATACAAGAAAAAAATACTAAAATAATACAAAAAAAGTATATTTTTAATGACCAAATTTGGAACCCTCTAAATCTTGGTTCCAATTTAGGTCAAAAATAATAGACTTTTTAAAAGCCAAACACAGAAAAATATATTTTTAATATACTTTATTTTTTCGAAATAATACAGAAATGATACACATGACCTGTAAAAACGTATTGTTTTTGTACTTTTGTATTATTTCTCTATTTTCCTCTCCAAAGTATAAAAATAATACAGTCCATAGAAAAGTATAGAAAAAATACAGAATGTATTAATTTTGTATTAGCATATATTATTTTTGTATTTTTTCACCTTTAAGAATTAAAATACAAAAAAAATATAGAATATATTAATTTTGTATCACATATATTATTTTTGTATTTTTTCATCTGGAACAATTAAAAGTACAAAAAAGATATAAAATATGAAAATAATACAGTACACAAAAAAGTATGAAAAAAATATAGAATGTATTAATTTTGTATTAATATGTATTGTTTTTGTATTTTTATCAGCATGAAGGATTGTATTTCAAAAATATCAAAAAAGTACAAGAATGATAGACAAAAAATACATTTAAATGCTAAAAATAATACAAAACAGAGTTTTAAAAACTACAAAAATGATCATGGGCAAAAATTGTTATTTGAAGAAAAGGGGTTGGAGATTGAGGTTCTTAATAGCATCTATTGATTGTTATTCAAAAATCTTTTATTTATTTGAAATATTTGTTAAATAACAATTTTAGTAACTCAGTCAGATTACCTTAAATGTACAAATAGCTAATTAAAAAGTAATTAATGTGGCCAGGCTACTGATTCAGCTACCAATTGTAGTCTTGATCTTTCTTTTTACATATAATCTGCTCTTCAATAGTCTTGATATTTTTCACAAGTTTAACTAATCCTGTTTTCTTTGTACTTTTACCAAATGTTTCGATCTCTCTGCTTTGCTGTTTCTTTTGTATGGAAAAGGTAGAAGAGTGTTTACTTTGTTGCAGAAGTCCATCTTCAAATCACACAACCTGTCATCTCATCTGACTTCATCACTGTGAAATATAGAACAGAATGATATAATAATAAAATTTAATGAACCATTACCTCAACAAAACACACATTTTCACATCCAGAATAATTCTATATAGATTTTGTTTAGCTAACACACCTGCAATACTTTCTTGAGAGGGATCTTCTTCCTCCATGACTAATCAGCTTTTCTTCAATGTTCTGCTGACTAAAATTAACAATAATTATAAATTGAAATTCCAAAAGATCCAGCGGAGTTCACCAAATTCCATACAATTGTACCATTGAAATTACTTTTCTTTAATCTGGGGTTTCTTAGGGGACAACCATTTAATTTGACAATCTGGAGAAGAAAAAGGGGGGGCTGATTTATAAAATATTTTTTAAAAAATATTTGTAATAAACAATCTGTCCTTGAAAATGTTGAAAGAGTAAACAAATGTTATTTAAAATAAACTGCCCCCCCCCCTCGAAAAAATTTGAGTTTATACAAATTACAGAATTGTTTTTGAAGGGAAAATAAATAATTCGTCTCTGGTAAACTTGAAAAAATTGGAATGAATTAGAACTAGGAAGCCAAAGGCTTGAAAATTACCCCCATCTTCCACCCCTCCCTCCCCAATCATAATTTATCACAAAAACCCTTGTTCCCCACATGGCCAATAACCGTACTATTTTATCTTTCTACAATACTACAAAATGGGTAAAAAAGGTATTCTTTGTTCCTCTATCTTTGTACTAAGTTATTATTTAAAAAACTGAAACTTTAATGTGCTAAAATATACATAATCTTACCGCAACTGTCGTTGTTTACACCAGAAAAGTCCGGATATGATGCCTAAAAAACGTCAGTCTCCTTATGTATTTGCTTTCCTTAGTTCATATATATGATCCTGTGTACCATGATTATGCTGAACTTCTGTTTTTCGATCCATTTTACTCGTGAGCAAATGAGAGTTTATTCAAAAATCACCTCCAGCTTTCTCAACACGTCCCGGGAAGAATTTTCAAAATGGCGTGGGTGAAATATTGTTGACCAATCAGAGAACAGTACGGAAGAGTTTTAAAATCTGACCAATCATATTGTGTCATATATACGAAAATTACCGATGTTGAGATCGGAACAGTTAGAGAAAACATATTTACATGGTTTTAAATATCTTGAATCAATTGAACAAACCTAAAATTATGTTAGAAAAAAACGATGTTCAATTTAATCATCAGAATCATTTTTTTATTCCTTACGGAATTTACCGATTACGAAACATCATTATTTCCGGTCATCATTTCCGCTGAGAGCAGCCATATTTATATTCAAGTTGACCTGTGAAGTAGACCATAAAGTTCAAATATAATGATCAAAACGAGCGGGAGTCACATAATATATAGCCTTTTAGACGGACAACTTAACTCATACATACGGTACCAGAGATTGAAATAATGTTTAACAACTATCCTTTACACCAATTTCACAACATTTTCTATATTATTTTATGATATTCTTTCGTAATAATTTCTTATTTAATTTTTTTTTAAAAGCGGATAATTAAATAGTTCTATTCCATGTAATTGTAATACGTACTGAATTAAATATGTATACTAAATTGAGTTGTATAGTCAAGAAAACATCGTAGGTACTGTAATTAGTGGAACTCTCCATGTTGTTTGTTTTTGTTTTTTGTTTTTTTGGTTGGGATGTGTTTTCACGGGTAAATCATGTTATTTCTTTGAGTAGTATAACATGTACTCGTCTATTGTTAGCCTGCAGGTGGCCACCTGTGCTGTTGGCGATAGTTGTAAACACTTGGTTGTAAACACGCTGTAAAATTTTCAACACAAAAAGAAAGTCTGAAACTCTGAATCTTCAAAATTTACCGCGTGTTTACAAGTATCATGTACAGCACAGGTGTCCCCTTAGACGTATCTATCTCTTTCCAAATGACAATTTCACACCTAGTAAAGACATGTTTTAAAAATGAAATTGTTTAGTTAACAAATTTAAACTACTGAAGTTTTCTGTTCTAAATAGCAATTAAATGTAAATAGTATAAAAGCAACCTTTATAGCAGTGGTCTTAATTAATAAAATCTGAGAAAAAATATTAATTCCAACAGACTTATTGCAAGGACATTCTGTAAATTTTCCTAAGTTCAAAGAAATACAAATTTCAGTAAAAGAAAACACTAAGTCCAAAATAAATATAAAAAAAATACATACTGACTGTATAGTATTTTTTGAAAAATTATTAAGTCCAAATTTAATACAAGAATAATACAGACTAACTGTATGTAATTTTCTGTAAAATTACTAAGTTCAATTTTAATACAAAAATAATACAGATTAACTGTATGTAATTTTCTGTAAAATTACTAAGTTCAATTTTAATACAGAAAAAATACACTTGAAAAAAACTAAGTCCACAAAAATACAAAAATGATATACTGAAAATAATCTAAGTCCCAAAAAATACAAAAATAATACCCTGTAAAAAAATCAAAGTCAGATTTTAATACAAAAATAATCTACCTATTTGTTGGTGATACAAAAATAATATATTTTTTCTGTATTAATTTTAAACAATACGAAAATGATTGTATTAAAAATATATTAAAAATATACTTTTATGTATTATTTTTTGATATGGGGTTATTCAGGTGCGCTTGATTTTGGAAAAACGTTTCGAATTTCATGTACTCTATCATGTCTACATGTATGTATTGATGCTTTTAAATTTAGCAAACATAGAAAATATATTAAAAGAAACAACAATTTATTATAAATGTTAAGTCATATGAGACACAGTTATAACTCAATGAAATTTGAAGGTAACCAGATGCAAGGTGTTCGACACTGTCTAGACAATTTTCTTCCAAAACATACTAGATAAAAAATTCACTACACTACAACACAAATAATACTTACCACTAAATTCTTTGGCCTAAAACAGGACTTTTCTTTTTATTAAGATTATTTCTTTCCTTATTAATTTCCAAGTTATGTTGATGGTAGAGTGTCTGAATTGCAATTTTGACTATAATCATTTTTTTAATTGAATTTTCTTCTAAGTTCATGAAAGCTAAAAGCATCAATACATATTATAGAGTATGTGAAACTCAATCATAATCATCTAGACCACACAATATGAAAATAAAATAAAACACTTGTTTTGTTTATACTGCATCTACATTTACATATATGCAGTGATAGGGAAGAAATCTCAGCTATATAGATTTAGTAGTACATGTATATTATTTGAATAGGTATCCCTAATATTGTGGACATTGAACATGAAGTTGAGATGGAACAGGATCTGGAACCCTAAATATCTGCTATCTGGAAACTTGGAAGGAGGGTTATGGAACTGGGGGTGATATGACAGATGCTCTAAAATGTCCATGCCATTTCAGCAGCTCTTTCATGCTGTGGATATCCTAACTTATGGATCATCAGCTACCATTAAGGTACATTTACATTTGTCAAAATGTTAGGCTGTGGTGTTGTTAGGCAAAATTGTTTCCACTTTCACAACCCAGTGAACCCACCCTATTTTGCAGCTGACCCCAATTTTTTTAAAAATGCTTTTTCAAGAAAAATATGAATATTCATTTTAAATTCCCCAATAATAGCATGTATAAAAAAATGTCCACCATAAATAAAACACTATTTCTTTGACTTCCAATCTATGCAAAAGACATCGGACCGTCAGACCTGACCGATGTGTAGTGCCTCTGGTCCGATGCGTCATTTTTTACACCGGACCAGAATGTCCGATGTGTCTATGTCCAGTTTTGAGCATTATTATTTTGATGGGGAGTCATGTAAATGTTCGTTATAAGTAAAAAATTTCTCACAAATATCCAAATACATGTACGTAAATGAAGGTGATTAAAACCGTATGGACCATCTACAGTACTATGCGGGAGCAATCCCTTGTAAAAGAAAAGGTGTTAGGCTTACTACTCTGCATTTTCATGTTTTTCACTTTTTTACATTAGGTTTTTTGGTCCAACAAAAATTGATTCGGTCCTGTGTGTTCATTGATTACACAGGACCCAATGTCCTGTGTGATCCAAAAAACTTTCGCATAGACTGGACAATTTTTCAAGCATGAACATGATAAAAGTGGAAACAAAGCAGGTTTAACCAATCATTTTCCTTGGCTTTACTTACTAGATTATTTTCTTTGATAATTGGCTAGATTTCACAATTAGTAAGCAAGTAAATTGTATTTTATACATGTAGTGATATATTACAGTATGAAGAAAAACGTAAAAATACATGTAATCAGTCAATCAGACCTATGTGTCACTTTTAGACAAATACATGTATATCATAGTTGATACCCATGACAAGTTTTAGATAAAGTTGAAAGTACCATATGTAGTGATGTAATGATTAATCGATTAAATCAATTATCTAATCGAAATGGTCCCCGATTATAGATAATCGATTACTCAAAATATTAGTTAAATGCAAATTATTCCTTTAATTTTTGATTCATTCTTCTTTGAATTTAACTAAATCCTAAATAATAATCTAATAAATGAATCCAATGATACAAACTATTTCAAAAATGTATTTTGGAAATCACTCCAGAATTTCTAAACAATTTATTTATTTCTAGATTTGAAATTGAAGAAATATAATATTTGAAATTAATCAATTTTTTTTTCAATTATAGTGCATCCCATTATTCCAATAATCAATTATGAAAAAAATCCCAATTTCCCATCACTAACCATATGCAAGAATTGTAACTGTTTGATGAATACTAACTGGTATATTAGGTTTGACATTAAATATTATGAATTATACATAAATACAAACATACTTAATTATTGTTTATTTATAGTATCATAGGGACATACAACTTGTATGTTTCATAGTTATTAACTTATTAAACATTTCATGTTTGAAATAAAGCCAACAGGTTTAGGTATGTGAAATCACTAACTGCCCATATACATGTAACAAGTTTATTGATGCAGACCTCTAGTAAAAAAAAAGGGGGGTGCAACTGACATCTTAAAGAAAATTTACTCTATAGCCAAATACTATTCTCAGAAAAAAGTTAGGAGGACAGACCCCCACCCCCCCAACACACACAACCATTCTGTAGGCCTGTATTGACTAGATCAGGTGGACAAGATCATTTGATTGTTATTAAAATGAAAATTATTTTATCACCTGCACTAATAACTAAAACAAGATTATTGTTTCTTACAGAGAGCGGGAACATCATGATCATATAAGCAATGAGACGAGAAAAGTTTTCAACTTTTTCCACAAAGAACAATCAATAAACAGGCAGACAAAATTCCAGGTCTAAAAATAAATGGAATGAAGGTGTACAATAACAAGTGAACATAGAAGTTTCTCTTGTAACAATCAGAATTAGACTAAAGTTTTGAGTAACGACAAGAAAAGTGTAGTCACTGGATACACTATCATTTCCTATGATGTCCCAGTATTAATCGAATGCAGTTTAAAACTGGCATTGCCAACAAATTCGATATGGAGTTATTGATGGAAGATGTGAATTGAAAACTGTGTGTGACTCGTTATAAAAAGTAAAGTGGATTCTATCTCAGAATGTAGACTTTTTCAGTTGAAAGACCCCAGAGTTTTATATGAAAAGAGTCATATATCTTCAGTCTGTTTGAAATGTCCATGACATCAGTTGTGGATACATTATTGGTGTTATCAGAATTTGCCATGTCTGTAGCATCATTTTTAGATACAATGTCAGTGTTTGGTACTAAATGTAATAAGTTTTCATTAATTCAAATTTGGTCAAATAACAAATTATTTTTCTTTTCTTTTTAATTGTAGATAGAGCAAATAAGTTTTCAATATGTTAATATATTTTGA